AGTCCTAGCCTTGAGCTGAAGAGCTGAGGGACAGCGCCCAGGCCCAGAGTTTAGGCCCCATGACCAGCAAAAAAAAAAAAAAAAAAGATTATTATTATTTTTTTTTTGCCAGTCCTGGGGCTTGCACTCTGGGCCTGGACACTGTCCCTGAGTTTTTTTTAAAAAGAATAATCTACTTTTTATGTTTTCTATTTGTTGTCGTTTTGTTGGACATGGGGCTTGAACTCTGGGCCTGGGTGCTGTCCCTCAGCTCTTCAGCTCAAGGCTAGTGCTCTACCCCTTGAGCCACAGCGCCACTTCTGGCTTTTTCTGTGTATGTGGTGCTGAGGAATCAAACCCAGGGCTTCATGCATGGGAGGCAAGCACTCTACCACTGAGCCACCTTCCCAGCCCTCAATGAATAATCGTTGTTTCCTGATGATACTGGTTTGAGCTTGTTTCCTGCTCACACAGGCACTCCACTACCAAGCAACATTTTTCTTTTGCACTGGTTATGTTTGAAATAGTGTCACTTCTGGCTCACACCTGCGATTCTCATTTTGACTCCCACTGTAGCGAGGATAACAGGTGAGCATCACCATGTCTAGCTTCTTCCATTGAGATGGAATCTTTTTCTGCACTGGCAGCCTGAAACCATGATCCTTCCAATATCAGCCGTCCACATAGCTAGGATAACTGGTGCATATCACACTCAGTCATTGGTTAAGATGGGATCACATTTGTATGGTTAGGGTAGCCTTGGCCCACAGTCCTCCTGATCTCAACCTCCCAAATAGCTAAGATTACAGATGCGCACCACTAGTGACTGTTTGTGTGTATGTGTGTGTGTGTATCATTGTAGGCAAGGTCAAGGGCAGGGTATACCACTGAGCTGCACTCCACACCATTTCACTGTAAATGATTTTGACAATTACTTGCTTAGGACACACAAGTCCATAGCTTCCCTCTACATTTACATGGTCAGTCATGAGACTTGAACTCGGGTTAGATGCTGTATCTAAGCTTTTTCATTCAAGGCTAATGCTCTACCACTTTGACCAGAGGTCTACTTCCAGTTTTCTGGTGGTTAATAGATGAATCTGATGGACCTTTCTGCCCAGGATGGCTTTGAACCTCAATCCTCAGATCATAGCCTCCCAAGTAGCTATGATTATAGGTGTGAGCCACAGGTACTCAGCTCTATCTATCTATCTACCTATCTATCTATCTGTCATGGGGCTTGAACTCTGGGCCTGAACACTGTCCCTCAGCTCTTCAGCTCAAGGCTAGCACTTCACCACTTCCAGCTTTTTTCTGCTTATGTGGTGCTGAGGAATCAAACCCAGGGCCTCATGCATGTGAGGCAAGCACTCTACCACTAAGCCACCTTCCCAGCCCTGCAATGAATGTGCCTTTATCAGTGGCTGAAATTCATGTGGATGTATGACATTAATTATAAGATATTTCTGATTTGGCTGACAAAAAATTAGCTGCAATAAGGTAAGTCACTCTTTTGAGTTGTATCCCAGAATTCTGGGTTGAAGGTACTTATAAAACACAAGGGGACATTTCAGATATAATGTTTGATTTAGAATTTCATTTTATTTAAATGTGTTCTTCATGCTACAATGCAACCCTTTAAAATCAGTCAAATACATAACATTAAAATGCTTTCTCAAAACTTATCAACTTAAATGACAACCCACAACCACAGCTTCTAAACTTCAAAAAGGCGGCTTCAGTATCCAGAAGAACACCTTATCCTAACTGGAATGAAATCCTGTCTCAATGCAAATTTAAGAAAAGAAAACAAAATATTATCAGAATACCAAAATTTATTCGGATACTATTATTGAATATGTCTACTTCTTAACTCTAAACTTGTTCCCAAGCACTGGGAAGGTTGGTTTTTCTGATACCTGGGTTAAAACTCAGAGCCACCTGATTACTTGGCTGGTACTTTACCACTTGATCTATGCTTCTATCTTGGCTTTTTGCTGGTTATTTGGGAGATAAGTCTCAAAGACTTCCCTGTCCAGACTGGCTTTGAACCTCAATTTTCTAGACCTCAGACTCCTGAGTATCTAGGATTACAGGTATGAGCAACCTGTGCCCTGGCAAGATTAGTTTAAAAACAAAATATATCATCTAAGCCAGGGGTTAGGTGGCTCACGCCTGTAATCCTAACTACTCAGGAGGCTGAGATCTGAAGATCATGGTTTGAAGCCAGCCCAGGCAGGAAAGTTCCCATGAGACTCTTGTCTCCAATTAACCACTCAAAACCGAAGTGGCATTGTGGCTCAAGTGGTAGAGGGCCAGCCTTGCACAAAAGGAAGCTCAGGGACAGAGTCCAGGCCCTGAGTTCATGCCTCACAACTGACCAAAAAAAAAAAAAAATTAGCATCTAGGCCCTGCCCCAAGCCAATTAGATCAGAATTTCTAGGGATTATTTTGGGGGAAGCCCTGGTCCTGGAGCTTGAACTCAGAACTCAGGGCCTGGGCAGTGTCCCTGAGCCTCTCTGTGCTCAAGGCTAGCACTCTACCACTTGAGCCACAGTGCCACGCCTGGCTTTTTCTGTTTATGTGGTACTGAGGAATCAAACCCAGGGCTTGGAGTGTGCTAGACAAGCACTCTACCATTAAGCCACATTCTCAATCCTTGGGATTTTTTTTTTTAAACCTTCCTCAGCAATTCTGCCAACTAAAGTTGGGAATCATAACTCCCACAAAATCTTTTAATTTTTTGGTTCTGGTACTAGGACTTGTAACTCTGGGTTTGGGTGCTGCCCTTGAGCTTTAAACACAAAATCATTTCATAAAGCAAAGACATAAATAAAAAGTATAAAAAAGAACAGCCCGGGGAAAGTAGAGGGAGGGACACAGAGGATAAGTTAAAAAAAATCATACTTATTATTTGTTTTCAAATAATTTCTACCTCTTGCTAGGCCCCCAAAATACTATTCGAATCTATGTCATAACATGATGAATGAAACAGCTAAGAAAAACAGGCCAAGGGGTAGCTCAGTGATAGCATATGTGCATAGCACAGGGGGGCCCTGAGCTCAATTCCCAGCTCCCCAAAAACAAAATAGAAAATATAGCCTAAAAGGCTCTTTTACTAGTCATCTAGTATCACTTAACACAGAGGTGGGAGAAGTTTTTACTGCCAAGGGCATTTGGATATTTCTATCATTGAGGGCCACACAAAATGATCAACTCAGGTACAGAGCTTCCGGCAGCCATCACAAAGCATACAAAAAGCTCATGTACATGTCCCATCCCCTACCAAATGAATTCATGATTTCAAGGGTTTTGTATGGCCTGCTGTTCCTCACCTCTGCATATACTATTTGCCAACAGAGGAAGACTGTCAGATTACAGGTAACCAAGGAAGGAATAACCTCATGGCAATGGAAGAAGTTAAGAACTTCTGGCTCTGATTTCCTCCATTTCGTTCCAGGAAAAGAGTTAAGGGAGAACGTTTGTGTATGGAGTCAGGTACTCAGACTTTAGTGGTCAATTTCAATTGACCCTACTCATTTTCTTTTCACTTAAAATTTCAAAGAAAAAGCAATATAAAATAATGGGCCAAAGGGAAGCTGGTCTTTGAGAATTTATCTTCCAGCTTTTACTGGTACAACAGTCCTTCAGCCTGGAGCTACTCAAGAAGCATGAAAAAGAAAGAAAAATTGTTTAGCTCAGACAAGTTCATTGGTATATGAGCTACAATGAAGGCTGGTGGCAAAATTTTTTTAAACCTGCATTGATCTAGATACTTGGGAATGTTCTGCTAAAATGTAGTTTCAATCCAGCAATAGGAGATTTTGACATTTGTTGTATACCCCATATTGTTAGTACTAGAGATTAAATTTTTGATGCCAAATGATGAGAAAAACCTTACAGTTACCTACAAAGGTAATGAGCTGTGAAATTAATTCCCTAGTATTGCTTTGAAAATATACCCTACATTGTTAAGACAAATTTCAACTCTGTTCAAATGACTTAGTTAGCTGGGATTCTTCAGTCATCATCCACAGTTGGCTTGATTGTCACTCCTCTTCTTATCTGACCCCAACCAATTAAACTGCAGAATGAAAATAAAAGACATTATGAGTTTCACATCTAGTTCATTAGTATCAACATATAATCACGTGACGTAATTGGTTTTTACCTGCCCATGTATTTTAGTTTTTGCCTGTACAATCTTGGGATTTGAACTAAGGGTCTAGAAACTCCCTGAACATTTTTTTGGCTTAAGGCTAGTGCTCTATTACTTGAGCCACAGCTCCAATTCTGGCTTTTTGGTGGTTAATCAGAGCTAAGAGGTTCACAGACTTGTCTGTGAAGACCGTTTCAAATTGTGATCCTCAGATCTCAGCCTCCTAAAGAGCTAGGCCTTGCCCTTTTTTCCCCCCATCTGTCATGGGACTTGAACTCTGGGCTTGGGCACTGTCCTTCAGCTTTTCAGCTCAAGGCTAGCGCCACTTGAGCCACAGTGCCACTTCCGGTTTTCTGATGGTTTATTAGAGATAAGAGTCTCCAATAAACTTCCTGCCTCAGATCTCAGCCTCCTGAGTAGCTAGGATTACAGGTGTGAGCCACCAGCGCCTGGCTATTGCCCATCTTCTAAGTTCAAATGTTCCCTAAGTCTGCTCCTCCAGAGAGAAAGCTCACAGTAATTCTTATCACGAACAGACGTGCCTTCATTCTAACAAACTATACCTACCCCTCAGATCCACTAAAGTCTTGCTTGTCAACCTAAGAACTATGCCCCAAACACAAACCACTTCAACTAAGTTTTGTTTAAAGCTCATTCTCTATCATTTCTTCCCTGAGAAATGCATGCCTCTTACTCACAACACCTCAACAGATTGCAATGCATTAGCATGACCTCAGCTGTTAAAGGAAAAAGAACTAGAGGAACACATCATGTATCAGCTGCACCTATCAGCTGATTACGGAAGAGCTCATTCAAAACATTCCTAAAACACTTTCATAGTGACTAAGTTCTTCTGTGACAAAGGATGAGGCAAACTAGAAGACTTTTGCACCATATATTAAGTATGAAATGACAGTGGTATAGACATAATGTTACAAGGAATAGAAAGGAATGGGAAGACTCCATAACTAACAGGAAACATAACGAGTGAGGACCCAAATATATGTATTTCGTAGTTTTAGTCATTTATAGGGAACTAGAAGCAGTATCACCCTACAGCAATGAGCATGAATGCTAATCATAGTTTGAACTCAGGGCCTTGTACTTGCTTGGCTTACATGCTCACAAACAGGTATACCACTGAAGCCACACCTGGCTCAGTCTTTTGACAAAATCTCACAAACTTTTCTGTCTGGGCTGGCTTCAAAACTAAGATCCTCTGGATCTTAGCCTCTTGAGTACCTAGGATTACAGGCATAAGCCACTAATAGTCAGACAATTAATTAGTTTTTTCATAGATTGTGAGAAGCCAACTGCAGTACTTGGGACTATAAATCAAGGCTGCTTAAATGTAGTTTTCAATAAGATCCAGATAGTAAAAATAATACAGACTCTTGTGTTCAAGCAAGAGTATGTACACCTGAATGTATACCAAGAACTTAAGGAAACTGACTCTACTAAACAGTGGCAAAGGCTAATCAACTTACCGCCAGTGTTTCTCGACTCTTCGACTAAGGGCAATTTTTTCTCCTACTTCTGTGCACACAGGATTAGTCAAGACGATTTTACCCAGATCAGCCTTGACAGCACTAACTCTCCCTCCTGTCGACAGGGATCCTATGTTGACCATAAGCACTTCATTCTTCGACAGCTTTTGTACCTAAGGAGAGAAATTGGGCGAAAACACCCCAAAGTCAAGACCATTTACAGTTTAAAAGTAGCAAACAGAATGTTGATTTGGGGCCCAGTGACTTCATACAAAATCTGCCTTGAAGAAATAAATTAAGTAACCACTGCATAAACCACTCTTAAAAAATTTTAAGTTAGCTAGGCGCCAGTGGCTCACACCTGTAATCCTAGCTACTCAAGAGGCTGAGATCTGAGGATCAATGGTTCAAGCCAGCCCAGCCCAGGCAGGAAAGTTCATGAGACTCTTATCTCCAATAAACTACCAGAAAACTGGAAGTGGCACTGTGGCTCAAGTGGTATAGCACTCGCCTTAAGCTGAAGAACTCAGGGTCAGCGCCCAGGCCCAGAGTTCAAGTCCCACGACCCACCAAAACAAACAAAAAAAAGCTTCAAGTTAAACACTAGTTGAGTATTCTTTATTGGGAATGCTTAGAAATGTGAACATTCCAAGTATCTCAGGATTTTATAATACTTATGTATATATATGTGGTGTCTTGGGGGATAAACACTGAAGTCACTTAAGTTTTGCTTTATGAATAGTCTTGCTATGCAGCATAGGCTGGCCTGGAACTGCTAAACCTCCTGCCTCTTGATATTATAACAGTGAGCAACTACGCCCAGACTCCCAGACTGGTACAGTGTGTGTGTGTGTGTGTGTGTGTCCTGAGTGCTGACCCCGAGCTTGTTTGCTCAGCGCCACTTCCGGTTTTCTGGTGGTTTATTGGAGATAGGAGTCTCACGGTCTCTCCTGCCCCGGCTGGCTTTGAACCGCGATCCTCAGATCTCAGCCTCCTGAGTAGCTAGGATTACAGGCGTGAGCCACTAGCGCCTGGCTCCTTTCTGGCTTTTTTTAAGTAGCTTATTGAAGAGAAGTCTTAGAACTTTCCTGTTCAGGCTGACTTCCAACCATAATCCTCAAATCTCAGCCTTCTGAGTAACTAGGATTATAAGCATGAGCGACCCGAGCCTGGTTGACTTATGTACACCTTATAGCAATAACCTGAAGCAATTTTACAATTTTCCACAGTTAGTGCAGTTGCATTTGACTATGACTCATCATGAGGTCAAGTATAGAATTTTTCAGTGGTAGCATCATGTCAGTAAAAAAAAAAAAAAAAACCAAACCTTTGGATTGTAAAGCATTTAGATTTTAGATTTTTAACTTATAGATCTTCAGCCTACAGTAGAAATAAGGTACAAAATTTCCTTTGTGTATGTATGGGTAGAAAAATAGGAAATGGCTTTATGAGGGTCAGTAAGGTGATTTTGGAGGTCCAATTCTATTCTTGTACCTAAACCAGTTACTAGAACTCTCTGAGCCTCTATTTAATTGGCTGGCACCATCTGTACAAGGAACAGTAAGTAAATTATTAGCCAAATGCCCCAAATCAGGTCACCGTTTTAATGGTTTCATTATTTGGTAAGTCAGATGAGACAAAAACAGTCAAGTTGGTATCAAAAGAATTCTAGGGTCTGGGAAGGTGGCTCAGTGGTAGAGTGTCTGCCTCACATGTATGAGGCTCTGGGTTCTATTCCTCAGTACCAGAAAAAGCACTGTGGCTCAAATGGTAGTGTTAGCCTTGAGCTGAAGAACTGAGGGACAGTGCCCAGGCCCAGAGTTTGAACCCCATGATCAAAGGAAAAAAAAAACAAGAATTCTAAAACACATGACAAGCCAGTTGCCAGTAGCTCACGCTAGCTACTATGGAGGCTGAGATCTGAGGACTGCAGTTCAGAGCCAGTTCTGGCAACAAAGTAAGTGAGACTCTTATTTCCAATTAGCCCCAGAAAATCACAAGTAAAGCAGTGGTTCAAAGTGGTAAAGCACTGTTTGATGTGTGTGTGGAAAAGAGTCAACATTATTTCTTTGGTTATTTCTCATGAAAATTACTTTTTCATGTTATTTCACTTATACTACATGAGTTTTTAACCAAGAGACTCAAAAGGTTCAATGTTTAACAAAGAGATACTTCTATAATTCTTTTATAACTTGTGTCTCCTAATTTATTTTTGAACTCTATCTAGTATATAGTATTGTGTGTGTATGTGTGTTCATCCTGGGCTTGAGTTCAGGGCCTGGTGCTGTCCCCCAAATTTTTTGCTCAAAGGAGCTACCATTTGAGCCACAGCTCCACTTCAGGCTTTTTGGTGGTTTGGAGATGAGAGTCTCATGGGTTTGCCTGCCAGAGTTGGCTTCAAACTGTGATCCTCAGATCTCAGCCTTCTGAGTAGGTAGTATTACAAGCATGAGCCATTGGCACCTGGCTAGCTAAATGTATATAGTTTTCAAAGTAACACAATTTCACTCTGAACTGAATCTCATGATAATTATTATGCTATTCTTTCTAAATGCCCTAGAGAAAAGTACCAGGGCAGGGTTTAGACACACCTAAAAAATTTTAAAATATCAACATTAAGTGTCAACTATTTCCCCATCTCTGCCAACGTAGTATTAGTAAAAGATTAATTTTAAAAAAGGAGCTGGGAAAGTAATTTACTGGTAGAGTGCTTGCCTAGCATGCATGAAGCCCTGGGTTCGATTCTTCAGTACAACATAAAATAAGAAATGCTGGAAGTGGCATTGTGGCTAAAGTTGTGGAGTGCTAGCCTTGAGCAAAAGAAGCTCAGAGACGGTGCCCAGGCCCTGAGTTTAAGCCCCAGGACTGGCAAAGAAAAAAATCAAACTGATTTATTTTAATTCCATGTTGGGCACAGAAGAATACAACTCAAAACTGGATTCACATAACTGTCTGTTACTTTTTCTGAAACAGGATTATAAAAAGCACTTACTTTTGCTGCTTTCTTATCTCCTTCAGTGCGGACACCTAGGAGCCGTCTAAGTAGGAAATAGGATATTTCCAATTCTGTGAATATCTCAGGTAAAGCCCCAACTGCACCAAGAACCTGCCCCACCATTCTGTCAGCTCGGCACAAAGTGGGATCGATCTTTGTTCCAACTCCTAATGAAAAAGAAAATGTACACAACCCAACTTTTATTTTCTAAGACACTTATAAAGATAATTATTTCTTCAAAAGTCTAGTCAAGTAAGCACAGTATGAATCTTCCTATACACTTTAATACCTACTTCTGTAGAGATATAGACATAACTTGTTTCATCTGGAGAAACAAAATTGTAAATTCATAGGTTCCTAAGACAACTGAGAATATAAAGATTCTCTTGATTTATATTCTAAACAATAGCAAATATCAGTAATAACAATTCAGAGTGAGTCTAAATATCTCTAATGAAGGGTGAAAAGATGTAAAATTCACTGTGTGTAGCATGTACAATATTTGCATGCTATTTACTTTTAGATTGGCTCAATGTGGATGTGCCTATAATCCTAGACCTCTGGAGGGAAGGATCTAATACTTAAGGCTGCTCAAGGGTGCTACCTGTATCCCGTGGTACACAGCAAGGGCCTCTCTAAAGAAAGAGAAGGGAGAGGAAGGATGGAGGGAGGATAGGTAGGCAGGCAACCAAGCTTAAAGTCTGGATCTACTTTTAAAATATATTAGCTGTGCCTTGAGTGGTTGGGAAAGAAAACATACAGATGGAACAAGATTAAGTAAGGGCTCAGTAAGGATTATAGGGAGGTTTTTAACGGAAGTCTATTTTCTGATGTTAAGTCTGAAGTTAAACTCTAAGTATTTCCAGAATTTCCTTTCAAATAAAAAGATAAGTTGGGTGCCAGTGGCCCATGCCTATAATTTCAGGAGACTGAGTTCTGAGCAAAAATGCTTTGAGCAAGAAATCTGAGTAAGAGTATAAGGTCCTAAGTTCAAGCCCTAGTATTAGCCCCCCTCCCACTGTATATATATGATGATAAATTTGTTTATAACAAAACTTTCTTACAGCACAGAAAGGAAAAAATAAATATCTAGCCAAAAGCCTATAATGTTAGATCCCCCATCTCAAAAAATAAAAAAACCAAAAAAGGAAGGAAAGGAGGGAGTGAAAGAAGAAAGGAAGAGAGTTGAGGAGAAGGAAGAAAGAGAAAGCTCCTATTCTCTATCCTAAAACCTATAGACTTAAAAAGAAAAAAAGTTAAAATGATGATAATCATCATGGGATATGAATGAAAAAGGCAAACTATCTGGGGGCAATCAGCAGGAGGGGAAAAGGAAAGGATACTGAAAGTCAAAGAGGACCAAAGTACATTTTACTTACTTACACACACACAGAATGAAACCCACCAAAAGTGGGGAAAAGACACTATGAGTATATAAGGGAGAAGTCAACTTGTTCCAAGTACAAATTTATGGAATTATCACAACAAAACTTCCTCATTTAACTCATATGCACTAATTCAAAAATAAAATTAGAATAATTCAATGGATTGGAGGCATGGCTCATTTGGTAGGGTGCTAGCCAATTAGATAAAGTATCAGATACCAAGTTGACTACCAGTCTCAGACCAAAAAAAAAAAACTACTTGGGTGACTGATGTGGGAAAACAGCTTGAGCTGTGTAGTTGAAGGCTAGTCTAAGTAATAGCGAGACTCTGTCTCAAAACAAGAAAACTAGTATGTATGTGTATGTGCATATGTGTGTGTTATATTTTAAATTTTAGGCCATAAAACTTATTTTGTTATTACTAAAAAGGAGGTTCTAGCTGCACCCAGGTGGCTCATGCCTATAATCATAGCTACTCAGGAGACTGAGATCTGTGGATCACAGATTGAAGACAGCCAGGACAGGAAAGTCCATGAGACTCATCTCCAATGAACTACTCAGAAAAAGCTGGAAGTAGCACTGGGGCTAGCCTTGAGCACAAAGAGGCTCAGGATGGGGCTGGGAAGGTGGCTCAGTGGTAGAGCGCTTGCCTTGCATGCATGAGGCCCTGGGTTCAATTCCTCAGCACCACATAAGCAAAAAGAAA